TATTCAACTTTTTCCAATAGTACAAAGATCATATAATAGGTTGTATCTTGATTTTTTTATGATGCATTTAAAAAACATGAAGGATTTTTAAACAACAATAACAGATATACTCAGGGTGTAATTATAAAGTGATGTATATAATTTAAAAAACGTATTTCTTTTATATTTATATTTATCCTTTAAAGGAAATGAAATTTATCCCACCAAACGGAAAAATTACTATTTAAAACCATTTTTTTTTTTTTTTTTTTAAATAGAAAAAGGCATTTTTTATACATATCATCATTCATAATCAATTATTTTTTCTTTGGAAAATAAATAATGCACAAAAACATGTATTCAAAAAAAATTTGTTTTTTTTTGAAATTCACAATTAGAAAAGGTTGTTATCCTGCGATATCTGGTCTAAAACCGCGAAGATACTTGTTCTAATAAACAAGGTTACCTAGGGAGAAAAAACAATTTAGAATACAGATATTTGCACTAAAAATTTCTTCCAAATTTGGACAAAATCCTTTAAATATTACAAAATTAATTATTATTACTGTGATATTCTAGAAAATAATTTCTTTTTGAGTTTAAACGTAAAGCAACATCACATAGAGTACAAAATACACGTGAACAATTATCATTAGTTGTAGCATTTATTCCTTCTTCTTGCCTTTGATATTTACAATACTCACATACAATCCTATTTTCTCTATATTCAGGAAAACAATTTCCTGACGTTGGTCTTTGTGATCCACTATAATAGTATTTTAAATCATACCATTTGAAATCTTGGATCAGGCAATATTTAAAAAAAATCATACAATACCAAATAACGTGATTAGTGGAGTTTGTACTACATGAATAAAATACAATATTATTATTATTATTATTATAATTTTGAGATTATGATATATATATGATATATATAGTATCATTTTTATAGTTTGTATAGTGCCAATAATAAATAAAATAATTCTTCGCATCGTATACTTTTTGTATTTAATCTAAGTCAACTGTTGAGTTTTTTTTTTGGAATTTTGAAAACCTCTCACTTGTTTATTATTATAAAGAGACAATGTTAAAAAAAATCTCCAAATTTCTGTTTTTCCTGACTTGTTTATTCCCTGTCGTATCAGCAAGATTACCACTTTCTGATATGTTTAATTTCGAAATAAATAAATACATTCCCTACGTAGTTGTCACCGTAATTCTTTTAATTGCACTTATTCCGATAAATCAATTTAAAAATCTCAGAATGATAATAGCTACAATTTTGGGAATATTCACAATATTTATTTTTCCACCTCTATTCCTTTATATGACACAAGGCTTCACCAAGCTCACAATAGTTGATATAGGAAGAACAGTTAGAGTTTCAGTTCGTGCCAATGATACAAATCCATGGAAACCTGTAGAGGAAGGATTAGATGGCCGAATGATGCTAATGAAGTCACTTAAATTTTTTCAAGTAAAATTTATGCTTGTTCCCGAAGAAACAACTCATCCATGGACTCTACCACCAAATTTACAAAATGCCTTTGAAAAACTCACGAGTGCTGAGGTTAAACTTCCTGCTCAAAAAAAAGACTCTATAATGAATTATATTAATCACAGACTGTCTTTAATTCAATCTAAACTCAATTCAGAAGCAGCATGCACCTCCACCGTAGCAGCTGCAAAATTCGTGACTATATTAAGTACTATGTTTGTTCAAAAACACGTTGTTTATATTCTGACACAAGATTGACGTCTGAAAAAGCTGGGTCTCTTTGAATTATTAAAGAATCTTTTGATTATTCATGTGATGGGCCGATTTTTCCAGAAGAGCATCCATTTGCAACCAAAACCTGGACCTGTATTCATATTTCGTGTGATTCTCCAATTGAATTGAATGGCTGTATTGTACTTTGAGAAAAAGTGGTAATGTGGTCAAGTCAGCAAGTCAATAAAATATTCCTCAAGAATTTAAGGATAAACTTAAATTAGTACATCCTACGTGCGAAAGGCAGTAAAATCTTGTTTAAATGAACTCGTTGTTGTTAGACTTAACATGTGACTTTTGTTATGATTGGCCACATGAAATGTAAAATAAAATCTCAATTTTTTCTGTATTTTAACAAAATCGGTATTTGCTACTATATAATCATTAGCGTTAGGAATAATCAGACCAAAAAATTTCTCAAAATCTCTTTAAACACAAACAAATTTTATAATTATATATTTGTTTTTTCTTCTTTTTTATTTTCCTAATATCTTTACTAGTAATCTCTGGTAACGCTCCTTCGGATTGAACAAAATCTAAATCGTAAATTTCTTCACCAAATTTTTTCTTAAATTTAGACAATTGTCCACTTTCATCACTCAAAATGACCTGAAAATGTTTCAGGGTTCCACAATGGATGATTACGAGTATCTCGTATTAATTTGATATTATTTACTTTTCAACTTTTCATTGACTTCAAATCAACATTTTTTACCTTTGATCATGAATTATCATCCATTATATAATACCGTATATATATATCTGACATTTCCTAGAAATAAATAAATTGGTAGTATGAATATGAATACATGAATTTTGAAAATGTGTTGCAAAAAAAGCCGGAAATTTTTATGTGAACTAAAAACGTGTATAGCGTCCCTAAATTAAGCCTAATTCGTGCCGTATAAAAATCAAGACGAACTCATATTTCAAAAATAAATATTGAGATTTTTTATAATTGATAATCTTTTTTGCTTTTTGAGAAAATTAAGTATATAATGTCTACTTCAAGACAAGAAACCCGACGTCAAGCTATATTAATATTACATTTGTGGAATAACGGTGTATGTGAGCACAAAGAAATAAATAAGCGTACAAAAGTTCCTCTTTCTACCGTCTATGATAACATAAAAAAATTAAAAACAACTGGCAATTTGGATCACGTTAGAGGAAATGGCCGCCAAAAAAAAAAATACTGCGGAAGCATCGAAAGTTTTGGGGCAATATATACGCAGAGATTCATCAATTTCGACTAGAAAATTGGCAATAAAATTATCGGTAAATCATGTGCAAGTATCTTATCCAACTATCTCTAGACATATACACGAAAAAGGGTATAAAAAAGCCCTGTAAATGGCTACACCAATGTTGACAATGTCTCATAAAGAAAACCGTGTACAATGGGCCCAATGACATCTTAATGACGATTGGAATAAAACATTATTTACCGATGAGACATCCTTTTTATTATTTAGAAATACTATAGAACGTTGGTATAAGGATAAAAGGCCAGTTCGAAGGATGCCAAAGGATCGTACTAAAATTCACGCGTGGGATGGTTTTTATGTAGAAGGCAAAACAAGCCTTTTTTGTTTTAAACAAATTATGGATGCGTTGTTTTGTGTGGAAATACTTAACAGACACGTTTCAGAAATAGAAAAAATGCTTGGGGATGAATGGAGATTTCAGCAAGACAATGACCCTAAACATACAAGTCGTCTTGCAACGTCTTTTCTTGCAGAAAATGTATCAAATGTTATAGACTGGCTTTCGAACAGCCCAGCTTTGAATCCGATAGAAAATCTGTGGAGCGTTGTTAAAAGAAACGTTGAGAAAAGGATGCCACAAAATTGTGAAGAATTAGAACCGATTTATGATTAATTAATGGCAAAGTATTCCACATAATGTCCTAATTAATTTAGTAAATTCTATACGATGCCGATGTAAGCTTATTATACAAAATAATGGAGAACGTATACCATATTAATTTTTTATTAATAAAAACTACATTTTTTAGGCTTTTAAAAGAGATATTTTTTGCATCATTTGGGATGACCGTTTTGTTGTAATAACCAAATATATAATCCCGGTTTTTTTTTGCAACACACTATATGTAAATAAATAAAATCGCACTCGTAAAATAAGCTAAAGAAGAAATTACATTATAATAAATAATTCCAATAACAAAATTTCAAATAGAATTTCCCAATAATATAATATAATAAATAATGTACTTCTTAGATGTAATTCTGAAGACTAAATTCTACTTTTCGCTCTACAAATTCTCCTCTTTTGATGTATCGTTCAATGGTAGTATAAATAACAAATAATGTAGCCCACAAATCTGCCCAGAAAAGTAAAAGCGAAACTTGGTTGACCTCCTCTTGTAACGAATAAAATAAAACATAGAAATTAAACCCAGTTAAAATTTCACCTATTATAGCTCCAAATATTGTACCCTTTAAACCACCAAGACAACACCCTAATACTAAATCAACAACTAAAACTGTAGTATATGCGTAGCTTTTTTTTTTTATCGCAATTACTAAACAATAAATATAAATTGATAAAACTAATAAAATATATATTGTGAGAATAAAATAGATGCACGTATCATTATTTGATTCAAGCATAAGGAGAATTGCTACTGTAGTAAAAATGAAGATTTCCAATAAAATTAAAAGGGGTATTGTAACACTGTTGAAACTTTCTGCCGCATAAAAGAGCAAAGGTAGAAAAATTATAAAGACTAATGCTGTGAACATTACAAAGGTTATATAGGCTGTTGCTGATCCACTACCAACAATTGAAAATAAGATTATATTACATGTGAATATTGAACAACTGAAGGCTATATCAACTATTGTGAGCTTGGTGAAGCCTTGTGTCATATAAAGGAATAGAGGTGGAAAAATAA